AGCGCTGCGCACACTGTTGGCGCTATATAAATCCTGTATAACAATAATAATGATAATAATGGACGCCAAATGTATCTTTCAATTACATCAGTAAAATGTTTTTTTATTCTTAGAAATTCTTGTTTAAAAACCCTTGATATAAATAATTTGATTGTTGTGTGTAAACACTTTCTTACAACCGGAGCAGAATACAGACTCCGGAGCGACTGTGCCTGACAGCCAATCAGCTTCCAGCTTCAGTCTGTTCAGTGAGCTTGGGTTCACACCTAGGCGTATCGAATATGCGCGACAAACACACGTTTCCGAGGGCTACCTGGCTGTATCCCAATGGATACGCGCGGCAAATACGCCCCAAAGAAGCTCCAGTACTTCTTTGGGCGTAGGGCGTTTTGTAGCGCGTTCCTACGTGCTGTAAAACGCTCAGGTGGGAACCAATCCCATAGGCAATCATTGGTTTTCACATGTTGAGCGTTTTACAGAGCGTAGGAACGCGCTGTAAAACGTCCAGGTGTGAACCAGGCCTTAAGCTTTAAAATGAAAGCTGGAAGCTGATTGGCTGCCATGGACAGCTGCTCCAGTCTTTCTAAATCCCCCTCATTGTTACAATGTATCATTTGCTTGTTCATATGTACATTCCGGCTCATTTCATACGCAGGCTCTGCTTCCTGCTATGCAGCATCATTATAGGGATGCACCGATACTAGTATCGGTATTGGTACCGATGCCGAGTATTTGGGCCCATACTCGCCCACATGCTCTGATGCCTGGCCCGATAGCTGAGCTTCCAGTATCAGGAAGCCGGGCAGCAAGTCATTGCACGCTGCCCGGCTTCCTGATTGGCCAGGAAGCCGGCTCACGGCTTCCTCGTCACCTGGTGACGAAAGAGCATGGAGCCGGCTTTCGGCCAATCAGGAAGTCGGGCACCTTGCCTATTTCCTGATTGGTCAGGAAGCTTGCCAATCAGGAATCCGGACGGCGAGTCATTTGGAAGCTGGGCAATCAGAAAGCTGGCTTCAATCACCCTCATCACCTGGTGACGAGGGAGTACGGAGCCGGCTTCCTGGCCAATCAGAAAGCTCTGTGTAATGGCTCGTTGCCCGGCTTTCTGATTTGGCCAGCTTCTGGACCAATCAGGAGGCCGGGCAACACATCATTACACGGCACCCGGCATCCTGATTGGCCCGAAAGCCGGCTCCATGCTCCCTCGTCACCTGGTGACGAGGGAGCATGGAGACGGTTCCCCTGCTAATCGGAAAGCCAGGTGGCGAGTCATTACACGTCGGCCGGCTTTCTTATTGGACTTGCGGTATCTGCATTCGGTATCGGCGAGTACCGGAAAGAGAATATCGGTACTCGTGCTCAATACCGAAAAACTTGTATCATTGCATCCCTATATTATTATTATTATTATTATACAGGATTTATATTGCACCAACAGTTTGCACAGCGCTTTACAGACCGCACAGTTACAATTCAATTTCAATACAGGAGGGTTGTGTACAGTAGTTGTGCTTTACTGCACCTAATTACAATACAAGTCAATGGGGTGTATTTATAAACTACTCACAGGGCCATTCGCCCTCTGTGAACGTTCGATATGTGCGGCTATAAGCCTAAAGAAACCTTCTTACGTTTTTTTTTTGTTTCCAAGTGGAATGGATTTTGTAATGTTTCATGTAATGTCCTATTATGGCCACTAGATGGGGCTAAAATAACATAGGAAAAAAGCATTTATTGTTCTGTGCTTCTCAGCACCATCTAGTGGCCATAATGTGATATTACATGACCAGCAAACATTCAAATCTACCTCTGAAGAACGTTTGATTTGGCATATATCCTCACAGAACGAACATTCACAGATATTCGGCCCTCCGAATTGTTTATATATAGACCCCTATAAGTCAGCCGTCTCATGGAAAGCAATGTATTCCCTATGTGGCTGATATCTAATCACAGCTGGTAAGCATTGTAGTACCCAAATCCACCCTCCCTATAGTGACAGATTTACAAATCTCTACATTTAATATAATAATAATAAACTCAGGTGCCATTTTAAAACATGGCCTTGTCTATTTTCCTCTAGTGGTGGAAGCGCTGGATGTCGGTGACAGCCGGGGTTCAGCACTAAGCCCTTTTTTTTTGCATCTGCAGTGGAACGGAACGCAGGCAAAGTTTTGCCATGTATCCAATCGCACTGCAGCCACGCCGGAACGCAGGGGGAAGTTTTGTGAGCGATTGCGGTGCATTCCAGCAGCTACCGCTCTGGAACGCACCGGATTCGGTGTGAACAAGGCCTTAGCCCAATGCTAAAACACAATAGTACCAAAATTATTTTGGCATAATCATGTTCTCATACCAAGGCTCCCTTGTGTTTTACCTTGATCCCATTGGAGGGTGTGTGTTTTGGACCCCTGAAACACTTAGGCAACTCTACTTGAATGTCCCTCTGACCCTAATAGAATAAAGTTATATCTGGACTATGATGGCACTTCAGTTCTCACATCTACTGTGCTGTCTGGCAGGGCTGTGTAAATCTAAGAACTGGATGAACAAAACAAAAGGCTAAGTATTATCCCAACAAGAATAGAAGTCCTGGCTCCACAAGTCATGCCGGGGGAGGGGCACAAGAGTGTGAAAGGAACTTGTCATGTAACCCACCCTAGAAGAGAGGTGTCAGCTCTCCCATCTAGCACGTGTAGATGTATAGACCTGCATAGGGTGACCTGTATGTACACCAGTGAAGGGGCAGCAATGACTGAGGACCTGGCTGGGAGTTCTTGTAGGCAGGACGGAAGTCTGCAATGTGGATCCTTTAATTCAACATGAGAATATGATAATGACTGGTGACAGCCCAATATGTCCTGGTGGTCCCGCCACCCCAAACCAGGGCTCACGTAGCTTACACAGCAATCAGCCCTCTGTATACCCCTGGTTTATTCTGTTCTACTTGCTGCCTCTTTGCTTCATAGAGTATATATACAGAGTATATATATATATATATATATATATAT